GCTCGGGCGGACATGGCGACGACGAGAACGACGCGAGAGACGAGAGACAAAGCGACAAACGAGACGACGAGAACGAAGAGGGGGACGACGGCGAGAACGAAATCGATACCGACCCCAGCCACGGCTTCTTCCCACCTCTCGTGTTGTCCCTTGGTTTTCGGGTCATAGCTCGGCTCTCTGGCGGCCGCTCGGGACGATCCCCGGACACCCCCGGAACGCTCTCGGCGAGGCGCGGCTGCCGGAGAGCCTCCCGAGGCCAGAAGACCGGCGGGGGCCGACGAGAGCGCTCGCTGCGAGGCGCGGCTGCCGGACGGCATCCCGAGGTCTGGGGACCGGCGAGAGCCGACGAGGTCGCCCGAAGGCCTCGACACTCGCCGAGCGCGTTCCGCTACTCGCAAAGTGCCTGCTCGCAAGCGTCCGAAAAGCACCTGTCTGCTTTGACGTATTTTATCGCAGATCCCCGGCGGGGGATCCGGGCCATTTGTGAGTAGTTTCTTTGCTGGCAGTGGGACGCGCTCGTCCATACACGCTGCCCCCGAGCCCTAGGTCGGGCGTGCCCCCATACAGGCGAGTTTTTCGCAGGCCGAGAGGTTGACACCATCACCGGTATCGGCAGTGTGCCTCCGCCGAGGGAAGATGATCCCGATCTCGGTGATGGTGGTAATATTCTGGCTTCCCAGGCGACCGAAGTGTTGCCACCGACACCGAAATCCAGGATCATCTTCCTCCTGTGGAGGCAACCCCCTGTGTCGGTGTTGGTGCCCATTTCCAGGCCTCCAAAATTTGGGCAAGAATTCAACATCGTCAACAGCCATTCAAAAAGTGCCCCAAAGTGGTCAACAAATCGTCCCCAGACTATTTTTTGGGACTATTTCCGAATAGTCCTCCTGGAGAGGGGCACGCCCGACTTCACCCGAGGCGCGACGGCGCGGGGGCGGCGGTGCCGACGATGACGGGGATGCGGCGCCGGGCGCGCGGCGATGGCAGGGCCGCGACACCTTCGAGCTCGTCGGCCACGCGGCCCTCGGGGAGCCGTGCCGCAAGGCCACCTCCCGGGCGCCGCGGCGCCTCGCAGGAGGAGAGGAGCGAAGAGCGAGGAGCGAGGAGCGAGGAGGAGGAGGAGGAGGAGGAGGAGGAGGAGGAGGAGAGGAGAGGAGGAGGAGAGGAGGAGGAGGAGGAGGAGAGGAGGAGGAGGAGGAGGAGGAGGAGGAGGCGGAGGAGGAGGAGGAGGAGGAGGAGGAGGAGGAGGAGGAGGAGGAGGGGAGGAGGAGGAGGGAGGAGGAGTGGAGGAGCGAGGAGGAGGAGGAGCGCGAGGAGCGAGGAGCGAGGAGCGAGGAGGAGGCGAGGAGGAGCGAGGAGGAGGCGGAGGAGGAGGAGCGAGGAGGAGGAGGACCAGCGTGAACCCAAGATTCACCAACGCCGTTGGAGTACACCCTTCTTCCAAGCTCCTTCCTCATTGGTCCTATTGGGCGATTCGTTTCCACTGAGGAAAATTTTTATTGAAAGACAACCTTTTCAAGATCCTGATGCGTGCCGAATCATCATTCTCGGGACCCCAGCGCCACGAATCAACCTGACTGTGTCGTTTTGGCGATCCTGAATCGTGCCAGACTGCTATTCCTGGGACTTCAACATCCCGAATGAGCGTAACTGCTGCGCCCAGATTCCTGGATCCTTCCACAGCGCCGTGACTAGTACGTTGACCATGGGGATCCGTGGAACTCTTGCAAATGTTTAAAATCGAGTGTACGCAGCACTAAGGCGAAAACATTTACCGAAACTGTTTCGGCTTCGGTCGTGGAAAACAGAAGCGGTCCGCCCGCTACGCGCGCGCGCCCTCCCAGGCGCCCCCCCCGGCTGGCCGGCCCTCTTCTGATTAATGTGACCATAACCGTAGCTTAGCGGCATATCATATCAGACAATGGCGGGAAGAAGTACATCCCCAATAAGTCGCTTGGATCTCAGCATGGAACGCCTACAGGAAGAAGAGCATCATGAAGAACGCGAACACGCTCTTCCGCTGAACCGGGTTGCGAAAGCTCCCCTCCTGACGGAGAGCAGGCGAAACACTGGTTATCGGCTGAAAATTCTATCATCGATGAAACCAGCGTCACTAGAGGGGGGAACTATGTTCTTCCATTTTGGGGAAATTGTACGAACAAAAAGACCAACGCCACGGCTTCAGTGTGAGCGCTCCTGGGGCGGCTTCTCCCGACTATGTCAGGGAACAACGTCTGCTGGGCCATATCCTGTGACGATGAACGTCGCCCCGGCACCCCGAAGGCCAATGGCGACAAGGGGCCTGACCTGGTACGAGCTCGGCGAGCAGATGCCGTTGCCGATCGCCGGCCAATCCAAGGTCGCCATCAACCTCTCGGACGGCGAGCAGGACCTGGAGTCTATCTCATCGGAGGAACAATATTCCCGCAAATCGACGCCCAGACCCATCGCCTACGGGGGCACCGACCTGTCGCAGTGAGTGGAAGCTGAGGCCTATGGCATCAGTTCTCCTGTTCCTGGCCGGCGATCCACTTCCCATGCTCGCGCCAATTGCCGATGGCGAGGATGCTGCGTTCCCCTCCGACGACTCCCTCGAACGGGGTCTCGAGGAAATCGTGGGGAGTCATCCCGTGGACAGCCTGGTCAGGACGGCTAACAAGCAGATGCGCGATGCGGTCAGTCCCTCAATGACGTCGCCGCTCATCAATCAGAGAGGGGTCTGACGGCATTCCCGAGGACGGGCCTATGCGCGCTCCGGGGGGCTCTGGGGGGGGGGGGGCCCGGTAGCTATGCGCCCGGGCCTCCCCCGCATCCTGTTCAGCCCGACTCTCGGCCATCGGTCATGGCCGCGACTCCCGACCCGCGGGCCTGATCTCCCCGCGAGAGGAGTTCGGCGAGGGTGGGCCGAGGGCGCCGAGGCCGCATTCGGAGGCATCCAACTTGTCGAACCTATCAGGCAGGTCGAGTGCGTTCAGCATGCGCATCAGCGCGAAGTGTGCTCAGTTTGGGCCGCGATGTGCGGCGCTTCCTGAAACTCGGCGCCCTGGGGCAGTGGGCTAGTGCAAATAGCCCGTATGTCATGGGTGCTCTGGACTATGTGGCCTCTGCAACCTGAACTTCCTGTGCCCGACGTGTCATGCCCCAGCGTCGCATTTGCGCGGGATTACGGTCGGGGGGTAGCGCGAGGCCGAGGAGAAGAAGAGGCTCGAGATCACGGGGGACAGAAGCCGAGAAGTCGAGATGCGCGAGCATCTCCGACAATCAGATATACAGCAACAGGCTGCCGCTGGTCTTCATTCAGAGCGGGATCGAGAGGCGACGATGAACGCCGTGAAGCTTCTTGAGGGGCGCCGGCGGACTGCGGCGGCCGAGCAGGCCTTGGCGGCGACTGCCGAGTGGGTGAGCTTGCCAACTGACTGGAGGTCACTGCTGCACCTAACGCCACGCGCAACTTCAGGACAATCATGTTACAGAAGAAGCCAGGCGCGTCGTCAGGGGGGCGAGGCGAGGTTCAACGCGCGACTATGTCGCGTGGGCCCGGGAGCTAGGGGGAGCAGAAGATCGGAATGCACGCTTGGCCGCAGAGGTAGCGGCGCCGAGGTAGATCGCGCGGCTGCTGAAGTCGCGGTTCAACACGCAGCGGAGAAGAAGGCAGCCGCCACGGAGCGAGCGCGGGGTGTAGCGCTGCGCGCGCAATCCCCAAGCGGAGGCTATTGCTCAGGAGGCGAGTGCCAGCCGTGCTCGCCCCGCTGCCGAAGTCCGAAGTGCCCGGGGCAAGGCGCAGCTGATCGAGGTGCGCGCTGTGGGGGGAGTCATCGCCAACGCTCGAAAGGCGGAGCAGAAGGCCGCGCGGGCGATGCAGGGCCGGGGAGCGGAGCGAGACAAATTTTGTCGTGAGGTTAACGAACGCCAGATATATTGGAATCCGATCGGGATGTCCTCGGCGGCGTTAGCGGGGGCCAGGTCAACAGCGGCTCCGACAGCTGACGCCGCCCCGCGGCGGGGGGCTGGCCGCGCCGAGGCGAGGTGCGCGTCGCCCTTGCGCGGGCGCGCTATGGTGCTTCATCTGCTCTAAGACGGCATTCCGCGACTGCAGTTCGTGCCGGAGGGGCAATGGCGATGGTCGCTTTGTCCCGGAGGACGATGCGCGTCCGCTGCTCCGACCAAGAGATGGCGTGGAGAGACGGCGCGGCAGAGAGAGGGCGCCAGAGAGAAGGGGGTTAGGCACGCGAGGCGAGAAAGAAGCTCGACGAGGAACGGATCGCCGCTGCCTCCGCGCTGGGGGCCGGCCCCCTTGACTGCCTGCCGCGGCCTGCGTCTTCCCGCGGGCATTCCCCGGGCTGCGATGAGCGCCGGGCGGGCAATGCTGAGTCAAAGAGGCTGCTCGAGTTCGAAGAGGCCGCAATGGCCGAGAATGCGAGACTCGAAGAAATGCTCGAAAGAGCGATGCAGCGGGAAGAGGGCCGCGCCAGGGTGCAGGCCGAGCGCATGGCGAAGGTCCAGGAGATGCGCGAGCAGCGAGCCGACGCTGCTGCTGCGGTGCAAAGGCAGGCCCAGGAGAAGGAGAAGAAGGCTGAGAACAAGCTCCGTTTCAGAGCCTTGTCGAGGCCCATGCAGAGCGAGCGCGAGCTCGTCTCGAAACATCTCACCCAGGATATGCACCGCCGGATCCAGGGGGCTTGTCCAGTATCTTCAAGCAAAATGACGAGAAGGATGAGGTGACTCCTCAGAAGGTGCCAGCACCGAAGCATCCAGGCTTAGGTCATCCAGATGATGATGGCGGAGGTGGTGATGACGATGACGAGGGGGATGAGGATGCTTATTCTGAGGTCGAGGAAAGCCAAACTCCTGATGGGGGAGGGGGCGGCGATCCTGATCGCCGGCGTCGGCGTGGCGGAGGACCGCCTGATGGCGGTCCGCGGCGGTCCGCCCGGAGGCGGATCGGCGTGCGCATAGCCGCTGGTCTAATGCCCGTCGACGCAGCGCTCCTGTCGAGGTGCTGGGGCACGAGAAGATGCTCGTCGAGCCGCGTTGCCGATCTGAGTTTCTGGAAGGGGCGGCAGAGCTGAGCGAGGACGAGGACAGCAGGTCGGAATCTTCAACGGACTCCGACCATATTCGGGACGAGAGGTCAGCCGTCTGCTGCGGGCGCGGATGAGGGGACTCGCAGCTATGCTGCAAGCCCCCCTCCAGCCCCGTCGCCCTCTGGACCTGCGTCGCCCGCGACGGCCGAGGCGCTTCATGAGTGCGCGACCCCCCAGTCTGGGCTGTCGACCGTCCACGTGGCGCCGGCTTGAGTGATCCCTGAAGCATCGACGAGGAGCAACCTCCGCCCCCGTCGCCTCCGGGCGCCAGAGATCGCGCCCAAGCGTCGCTCGAGGCATTGGAGAACGAGGGTGGCGAAGAGGCGGGTGGCGCCAGAGACGACCAGGGCGTTGATGTGGAGCACAAAGCAGAGGAGAGTGGCGCGCCCGAGCCCGGGCTGATTCCTGTCTTCCCAACAAGCTTCCCGAAGCATTCGCGTTGCGATATTTGCGCCTCGGAGGGGCCCCGACGCCGCGCGAGGAGCAGCAGTTCTCGATGGGCGAGCTTAGGGCGAGGAGGGGGGAGAAAGGGGGCGCCTTCCACCGCGGGCCGGGGCGCGCCGGGAAGGGCGAGCTCGGCGCCCCGCTCGTTGAGAATGGCGACCCCGCAGCGTTGCTAGTCGTTCGTATCGAGTTGGCCCGGGAGTTGGATGGGGCGCCGCTACTCCGGCCCCGAGCCCTTCGCAGACAGACAAGCCAGGCGGCGATTTCCAGGAAAGAACAATAGAGCGTTCCCGTGATCTAGTGGGCGATGCGCTACCGCAGTACTTGCGTCACCTGTCCCCTGAGGACGGGGTGAACGCGCGTCGGTTTCTGCGCGCCCGCTACAATGCGGTCGAGCCCCGCTGTCCCCCGAAGCTGGAGGTGGATCTCGTCCCCATGAGCCTTGTTGGTGAGCTGCGTACGCCTGCGTGGTATTCGGAAATGGATGCGGAGGAAACTGGGCGCATCGGCTCGTTC